CAGTGGTGTGATTACAGTTCACTGCAGCCTCAAACTCCTGGACTTGGGTGATCCTCCTGCCTTAGCCTCCCCAATAGCTGGGATAACAGGTGCATGCCACCATGCCTGGCTAATTTTTAAATTTTTTTTTGTAGAGATAGGGTCTTGCTATGTTATCCAGGCTGGTCTGGAACTCCTGGCCTCAAGCAATCCTCCTGCCTTGGCCTCCCACAGTGCTGGAATTACAGGCATGAGCCACCGTGCCCAGCCATGCTGCATTTATCTATAGGACTTTTACAGAAGGCTTTTCTTTTTCTGTGTGCTTTTTCTTTTTTCTATGAAACAGACGTGTATTTATAAAAAACGCTGGGCACACACCACAGTGTTTGTAGAGAGGAAAGACTTAATTCACAGCTTCCTCTACGTCTACTATGTACATTGGAGTGCCTCAAGTGCTGGCATACCTGTAGCACAAATCTCTTCTGGTACCTACTTCAAGCTGAAGGTCTCCAAAACCAAACCTCCGGTAAGTTCTTCTTTTTCTCCCTTCAGTGAGAATGGAGACTTCCCTTGTCAAGGTCATCAGTAACCCCATCTTTGCAAAATGTAATAGTCATACTTCTGACCTCATCTTACTTGGCTTATGCACAGCACTTGCCATAGCTGATCACTCCCTTCTCCATGAAACTTTCCATTTGGCTCCCAGAACAACATACTCTCCTGGTTTTCCTCCTGCCTCACTGACCATTCCCACACAGTCAGTCTCTACTGGTAGTCTCCCTGCCTCATACCAACCTCTTCATGTTGGATGGTCTGGAAACTCAGGCCTTGGACCTCTTCTCTATATTCTGTACTCTTCTCTATACTCACTTCTATGGTCATCTCATCTAGTCTCATAGCTTTAAATGCCACCTAGAACCTATGATCTCCAAATTTATATCTCTAGCACAGACCCCTCCCATGTGGATGTTTAATAAATATCTCACTTATTGTATGTAAATCTGAACTTCTGATTTTGCCTTCTAAGCCTGTCTACTTGCAGTCTTCATCTTAGCTGATGGCCAGAATCCTTGGTGTCATCCTTCACTCTTCTCTCATATCCTTTATCTAATCAATTAGGAAATCCTATTGGCTCCACTTTCACAAACATATCCAGAATCCAAGAATTCTTTTTCTTTTTTATTTAGACAGAGTTTTGCTCTTGTTGCCCAGGCTAGAGTGCAGTGGTACGATCTCGGTTCACTGCAACCTCCACCTCCTGGGTTCAAGTGATTCTCTTGTCTCAACCTCCCAGGTAGCTTGGATTACAGGTGTGTGCTACCATGCCCAGCTAACTTTTGTATTTTTAGTAGAGATGGAATTTTACCATGTTGGCTGGGCTGGTCTTGAACTCCTGATCTCAAGTGATCCACCTGCCTTGGCCTCCCAAAGTGCTGGGATTACAGGTGTGAGCCATTGCACCTGGCCCCCTAACAATTTCTTACTACTCCACTTCTATAATCCTGGTCCAAGACACCATCCTCTCTCACCAAGATCATGTCAATAGCCTCCTAATCAGTCTCTCTGCTTCCACCCTTGCCCTCATCATGTTTCTTTTCAATGTTGCAGCCAGCTGAGTGAGCCTTGTAAAACAAATTTTTCTTTTGCTTATTTTATTTATTCATTTTTGAGATGAAGTCTCACTCTGTCGCCCAGGCTGGAGTGTAGTGGTGCAATCTCTGCTCACTGCAACCTCCGCCCCTGGGGTTCAAGATTCTCCTGCCTCAGCCTCCTAAGTAGCTGGGATCACAGGTGCCTGCCACTGCGCCTGGCTAATTTTTGTATTTTTAGTAGAGATGGGGTTTCACCATCTTGACAAGGCTGGTCTTGAACTCTTGACCTCATGATCTACCAGCCTCGGCCTCCCAAAGTGCTGGGATTACAGGTGTGAGCCACCGCGCCTGGCCCTTTTTCTTTTTTTTAAGAGATGATGTCTTGCTTTGTTGCCCAGGCTGGTCTTGAACTCCTGGCCTCAGGCTATCTTCCTGCCTCAACCTCCCAAAATGCTGGAATTATAAGTGTGAACCACCACCCCAGCTATAAAACAAATCTGTCATTTTTGTGTTTAAAATTTTCCAAAAGCGCTTCTCAAACTTTTTTTTTTTTAAGACAGGGTTGCTCTGTCATCCAGGTTGGAGTAGAGTGGTACAATCAGAGCTCACTGCAGCCTCGACATCCCAGGCTCAGGTGATCCTCCCGCATCAGCCTCCCTTGTAGCTGGGACTACAGGTGCATACCACCATGCTCAGCTAACTTTGTGCTGGGATTACAGGTGTGAGCCACTACACCTGGCTGTAAAACAAATTTCTGTCTTTCATCTGTTTTATGTCTATCTATCTATCATCTATCATCTGTCTATCATCTATCATCTATCTATCGTCTGTCTATCTATCTGTCTGTCTCCTTATTGAGACAGGGTCTCACTTTGTCATCGAAAAGATAGGCTGCTCTATCTATCCACAGATAGATAGGGCAGTCTATTTATCTATCAATCTATTGATCGATCGATCTACCTACCTACCTACCTACCTACTTACTTACTTACTTATTGAGACAGGGTCTCACTTTGTCATCCCAGCTGCCCTCCTATCCATCTCTATCTATCTATCAACTATCTATCTACCTACCTACCTACCTACCTACCTATTCAGACATGGTCTCACTTTGTCATCCCAGCTGGCAGGCATTGGCATGACCAGGGCTTACTTCAGCTTCTACTTCCTGGGCTCAAGTGATCCTCCGGCCTCAGTCCCCCAAGTAGCTGGGACTACAGAGATGCACCACCATGCCTGGCT